GGGTTTGGGTCTTCGCCAATATACAGGCAGGTCTACATACTGATTATAACCCTGAAAGCCAACTTTTGACATGTCTTACATATTACCTGATTTAAGTTACCCTTCAAAGTGTTCATTATCTTTGTTGAGGATGAGTTTAAGTCATTTACTACTATCAACACCTGAATAACTAAGAAAACAAGCAATTATCTCATTTTCAAACTTGTTTCAAATAACAGGATACTATGAATTCAGTAAACATTTTTGGCTCACATAAAAGGAGCTTACTTTGGTAATTACACTGTTAAAATACAAAGGAATGAATGTTTGTTCAGTTTAACATTGCAAACGTCGTCTCTTTTGTAGTAAAAAAATTTACTTCTCGACTGTTTCTAGACGAACTCACTTCTTGCGTTTGTAGGCTTCTGTCTGCTTTTCGTCTGGATCTTTTACCTTGGAAGAATGGCAGGGACATGAGCAAGGTGACTGTGCAGAAACTTGGCCGACTGTGGGGGAAACAGCAAATTTTAGGTCTTTTACAGTATGATTTCACCAACAGGCCCGAGGCACAGATTTATTTTCTCAGTGAAGGTGAACAATAGACACTGGCTCTTGCTACTTCTGGCGGTAATGTCTTTCAGTGGCATATCCAAGTTCTGGTTTGGGGGGAGGGGGGGAATGGAAATTGGCAACATGTCTCGGGGAAGGAGGGGGAAAGCAAGTTTCCCCACCCTGGATACGCTACTGTTGTCTTTTTCAACATGTTAATTTTGGTCACTCTATCTGCAAATGCATTGTCTTAGAGTGGCGTCATTCTGGTTTGCCAACTCTTAACCACGGAAAGTGCAAGTGCTCAAACCATCCCCAACAACCTCCCTTCCATGTCTTGTCGGGGGGGGTGGTTTATTAAAGCCAATCAAAAACAAGAGGCCAGAAATTTTTGCTCCAATTAAACTGTGTCTTGCCAAACTTGTCACATCATTACCCGATTCTCCATTGAGTTTCATCTGCCAGTGAGCCTTTGTGTGGGGGTGGGTCTTCGCCTCTGGGGAGTCGTCATCAGATGGGTCATCAAACACAACACCCTTGGCACCTTTACTTTTTTTACAGGTTCCCTGTATCACACAGATACACGGTGCCAATATAAAGCATATAATCTTACGTTGCACTGACATAAAAATGGCATCTTTTTTCAAAAATGAAGACATAAAGTGTGACCTTTTTGTAGTTACTCCTTCACTTTATACTGTACTCAATCTCCAAATCGGGAAACTGTTCTTGTAATTACCTGAATATTTGTACATTTGGGAATAAGGATAAATAACTTTACAACACTTGATAATCGTAAACTCTAGTGTGAGCAGTGAACTAGCATATGATGTGATCAGTTGTTGGAACACTGCAATTTTTGTCGACGGCTACATTTTGGCCGATGAAAATATAGCATTCAAGACAGTGGTATGACAAAACTTCAGATTCCACATCACGGCATCAATTTGAAACGATGCTCAACACACAAGATTTACATACCCCTGTAGTGCCAGAGGTCCGGAATCTCTTTTTACTTGGCTGGAAATCAGCGTCGTCTCCATCTGCAACTTCTATCTTCAAACTTCTGGAGTTCTCCTCTGCAGAGAAATAACAAAGACGCTAAGCTTTTTAGAGTAAATGCACTGAGTGACTTTTTTGGTTCCTCTTTCGGCAACTAATTGGATATATGCATTGGGCTTCAGGTTTTAATTTTGAGGGCCTTTGAACGAGAGCTGAGTCAATTCGAATAATTCACTCTGTTCGAATATTCGGTCGCACCAACCGGCAGATTTTTTATGAACAAGCCAAATAGAAAATCAGTTGCAAGATTTACGAGATGAACAGTCCTTCTTGCCCTGTTGAAAATTTCTATTCCTTTCAAATCTTTCAATAAATAATTTACTTTCTAAATTGTTGTAATTCTGTTGCTCTTCATTTGAATCTGCTTGAAACAAGCCTCCACAGTGCAGTTCTTCTCATTTAAAACAAAACAAAATTCTCCCTTCCTTTTCATGAATTTTGCATTCAAGTTATTCAAATTCAGATAAAAACATTCGAGTATTCGATAATCGATCGAATATTCAGATATATGGCACAGCCCTACTGGGAACTCTCCTCTGCAATTTGAATAAAAAATCATTCAGAAACCTCAGAAAGGTCAATGTTTGACTTTAAAACCAAAAAAAATGGCATGCGGAACAAATGAAGATGTAAATTGGGCAAAACTATTATTAGAATAATATCTTGGTCAGAAAATCACAGTTCTCCATGTTAGGGGGCCAAGCTATTCCCAACACACGATATTCCAAGTTTGGGATTTAACCCTGAAAGAATTTTCTAAAACCTAACAGTGGGACCATCTCACAGAATATTGGCTGTACTACGCCTGGTTCATTTCTGAATTCGATATACAGGTAAAGACATTCATTATGAGAATGTCTGTGAAGATCCAATTCAATGGGACATGAGATTTTGTTGTTTTGGTCATTAATAGTTCATGCCCTGATATACAATGAAAAGATGCCAATGGGAAAAGTTAACTTTTACGCTGACCTTTCTTGGAAAAATTGATATCTTTATAATTTTTATAAACTTGGTGTCAAAATGATTATTTCTACGTTACTGGAAAACTGAAGACTCGACACAGGGGAAAAAAAACTGCACCACGATATCAGAGAAAATGTTGAGATGGGCCAAATTCCTTTCCCCCTCCCCCGGGGCTGAGGGTTAAGGATAAACAGAATGTACTGTTAAAAATGTCAAGACCACCTCTTTACAGGGTTGATACTTTCTCAAAATCACTTGAGATATCTCTATGGTGTATCCTAAATAACAAGTGGTCAACCTTGTTCCCGCATCATCACCTTGATTGCAGCCACTTCCACTGGGGGCCAGCGAGGGTTGGCAGGTTCCACTGCTGCCCCGGGAGTGTGCTGCAGACGGAGCAGTCCCATTCTCATTTAGGGGTGAAGTTTCTATGCAGGGTTTTCCTGGCTGTTGAGGTGAAGTCTTGCTGCAATCGCAGGTGCAGACAAAACTCGCTTGGCAATCTGAAGACAAACCAGAAAATAACGACTCCGAGGGGCTGACGATCAGAAAAACAGTTTGAGAGACTTCCAGTTAAGGTGCGCTTAACTGGATATCAGGGCAGTTCAAACGTGAGAAATGGCGTGACAATTTGGGGTGTTTAAAGCTATTTTATTTTTCACAAGTGATTTTTGAAGCTTTGCACTATTTGTTTTTGATTTTTCTAATACAGCCTGAACTTTTCCCAGGAAATGTGCCCTTCACTTTGAGTAAAACTAGGGAAGTGGAAGGCATATTTCAGCTCTTATAAGCTCTGAATATTGTCAATATCTTTACACCAGAATTTTTTGTTACAGAATGCTATTAATTTTGCCTGGTTCTACACTCTAATGTGATGAAGTCTGTCTGCTTTATTGTAGTATAAATGCATCCAGATCTGGTTCTTTGGTAAAGGGTTACAGCCAGCGTAAGGATCTTACCATTTTGTTCGCACGAAGCTGCCTCAAGATCCTCTTCGTTACGTTTTTCTGCAAATGACAATGGAATCACATCAAAGCCTAACACGCACAAGTTTCTAACTGTTTAAGTCACCTGCATTCTTAACCAATTCAGTAAACCTGACCAAGAATGATCCAGTTACGTCTACTACCACACCAAGCCAGAATAGAGCGTGAAATTACATTTGGATGTCTGCCATTTTTGGTACTTGTCCCAACCAAAAGCAGAAATGATCAGACAAACTATCTGAAGGAAATGTAAGGATGAAAGGCCAAATGGCAAAATCTCCATGGTGTTTTTGTGACTCTTTGGGCACTTTTAACATTTATACAAGTAGGGAAGTGTGCTGCCATTTGCATGACCTTGTTCTATCAAAATAAAGCTGGTAACGATAAAATGACATTGATCCTGCTAGTATGTTTTGACCAACCATTTTCTTGACCAAGTTTACGCACAGCAGGAAGGTAAATCAATGGCTGTACCTACATGCTTCTTCTCTTTATCGACCACAAACCTTATTTTACCTAAATAAAAATAGATGACACTTTGCAAATACCAGAACTTGATAAAATGCAAACTTTAGAAAACTTGACATTCGCACACTTCTGTGTCATATTTAATTGTTGAGTATTCACGGTTACAATGTCATGGAAATTTAGTCAACTGCATTTAGTTTTTATATTTATTCTGTTGCCATGGCAAGACTGACATACCCGGCAACCAGAACCACTTACTATATTCATTCTGTTGCCACGCCAAACAGGAACACAGAAGGGCTAAGCTTTTGCCACTGCCGGTCGGACTTTCTAGCAAACAATTCTGATGCCGTTCAATCCCCTTGATAATCTGACAAGATTAACATGAACATGTTACATACAACACAAGAAAGCCTCGGGAAAACTGGAAAAAGTTTAATTGGGGGGAGACGGAGACTATCACCATCAACATGACTGAGCAGTTAGACAGAAGCTATGTATGATCCAGATGACAGATGAAATGGTCTTTGCCTTGTGGAACAGACCGTTTCATCTCTCACTCGTGCCATTATTCTTACCATCGCGCGAATATGATTCATTATTTGTTTTACAAAACACCTGTACAAATCCTCGTCATCTGATTGGTTCACTTGCAGCCTATTTTATCTGTCTCTTAGTGCAGGCAACATAAGCTGCATTGACAAGCTCGTCAATTTCTCTGTCAGTTAACATCGCGAACATCGGATCTAAGTCGGCCGTGTTGCTGTAAATATTTTGCACTACAGCGCCATCACGCAGAAGCTGCAGTGCATCCAGAGGTGCTTGTTATCCATTTCTAATGCACAGTTCTTATAATGTTTTACACTCTGCATGTGCGTCCCATTCGCCAGCTGCGTGCTAGTAAAAAATAATTCAATGCCGTGTGATCAACGATCCACCAATCAGATGACAGGGATTTATGCAGGTGAAGCAATATCTGGGCACTGTCACGGCACTAAAGATGCAATGGTGCACAATCTGCTATTCTGAACCTGTAACACTCCACAAGAGGCTACTCAAGAGCTTCTTAGGTATGCTGTAACACGACAAAGGACGAGACAGCAATGAAGTCAAGGCTGTCATGGATAAAAGTGAATGGAAGGACGTCAAAGCTTGAAATACCTGCAGATCCCTATCTCAGCATAACTCACCATGGACATCATTGAGAGCTGAGTTGGGTACGCCTTGCAGGGAAAGTCCACCTTCACCCCACCTATGGTGTAGGAGGTTCCTTGAACCACTCCTACTCCTCCTGTTGCCATGGTGACAGGATGTAGTTGCCTGGTAACAAATGAGACAAAATAAAGCAATGATACAAAACACTGCTTACCCCCAAAGTAAGGCTTGCTAAAAATTAGATCGGAGGGCATCATTAGATCTGAAGCGTCACATTTCACATAAATGTAGGAAAATATAAATGTGACTATCAATTTACCTTGTTTGAGCCTTGAGAGGCAAGTTCTGTGACTTTTAATTAAGTTTTGATCAACACTGCACAACATAAATGAAAAACCAAGTCCATGTAATCACAAGGTTTTTAGATCTCATAAATGTAAGTGGTAGCAGCAATAAACCTTGCCGATGTCCGTATGGGTTTGAATGACAAACTAAACTAAATGTTTTTATTCGTTTGTCGTCCGACCAACCCCATATTGCATTGCAAACATCTAAGTTTTATCAAATCTGTGTATGAAAAGGTTTTATGCTAAGGTCTACGTTAGGCATGACACTTGACACAATGAAAGATGTGTTGTACGCACAATCACATTTCAACACATGGTGGGCATCAGGCCTGGAGAAAAAAAACACCAACAGAACACTGAACAAGTGCACATGCGCATCCTTGGCATTCTCATTTCATCCAACTTACAGACTTTGCAGAGTTACCCCAACAATTGTGGGGTTGGTCATCTGCCGTGTTCATGAGATTGCGGCGGACGTGAGGACCCCACACAGTTTGCTGGAAGTAGATGTAACAGGCAGTCGTTTTCCTAGTTCCGGATCGTGAAAATTATTTGGTTGGATTGTAACTTGAAAAAATTCTAAAATTCCAGATGGCTGTTCCATGTCAAGACATCTAAACTGCTGCCAAAGTTTTGGAAGAGCCCATTGGTACATGTAGTATCTTATCGCTCAGTCCGTGTATTACATATGCCTTGACATGGAACAGCCGTCAAGACGATGAGGGGTCAAGTGACGTAATGTTCAACGACCTTATTTTAAAGATGGCGACTGAGAGAGCGAGCCCGTTAGATTGAATGGATAAAGGCAAAAAGACTGGAAAATACCTGAATAAAGTGAGTGAAATCATTCAATAAATGGTTTTTAGAAAGCGGAAAGGTCAAGGATCATGTTCGTGTGTAAAAGAAATTGCACCCACGATGATAAGTTGGTGTGCCGAAAATGTTCAGTACGCCGACACAAAATTGCGTATACGGATGTGTGGCTAAGGATGGATCGGGAGTGAGAGGCCGTGCCACACTAGTGGGGCTAACTAAATAGCTTCTCACAGTAGGAGTATCTCCAGCCACAATTTACAATTTAGAGATGAACAATACTTCTTGTCCTTTAAAGTTTTTTTAAGAATAATTTACACGGACTGTGTCTTTTACATGTCTTCATTTACACTACAAGTCGCAATGCAATGTTAACGTTAGACGACGCCCACTACGCGTGAGCTAAGTCACAGTATTACGCCCCAACTATAGCATAAGTCCCAACTACAGTTGGGACAGTCCCAACTGTAGTGCTACAGTTGGGCTGACCCAACTATTGTTGACCAATGCCTGTGGGAAATGTCTCAACATTATCCAAGTCAATGTGGCACTTAGCCCTATGACCAATGACATGATATTTGTAAGCAATATGACTTTGGCACATGCTGGGCCGGCCCAACTGTAGCACTCTAGTTGGGATGGGCCCAACTATAGTTGGGACTGATGCTATAGTTGGGGCGTAACAACAGCATCACATTCAGCATGGTCAGGTGGTAGGCCTAGGCATAGGCTAATTCTAAACTCCTAAGTACAAGATCAGAAGTAATCGTAATAATACACTTTCACGCTTACTTACAACTTAAATGAGTGTCAAACATATAAATCCCTCAAAAGCAGTACTGCTTCATGACGATTATTTTTAACTTGATTTGAGGGATTTCAAACTTCAAATTCAAAGGGTCCCGCCATCACCGCACGTTTCTCCAAAACCTCAAAACGATCTGAGAGGCGCGCCATTCATTAACTGAAGACAAAATGACGACTGGTACCTAATCTCTGCCAATGTAGTTAGGCGTTACACATTTCGGTTAAACATGTGTATCCAGCTTAAGTGTACAAGCTAGGTAGCCAGTCTAACTTAATATCTAATTCGACTGTCAGTTGGTGGCGCTATGTCGATTGAACGGTGCATGTGGGTGGTGCAAAAAATGGGCCGGGTTGTCATTGCACTGCACACATGCAATGTATATGTACATGTATCGGTACAGTGATCAACATGAGGTACTTAAGTGCAGCATGCATCATATTACGGTTGAGCATGACGTTCCTCACACAAAAGGAGGAGGATTTGACTTGTAAGGTTGATGTTTATATGCTGATGGGATAAAGTTGTCAACATGGGATCAGAGGAAGGTAATGTATTGAACTTGTAATGTTAGGCCATTAAATTTGGGAAAGAGGCCAGCTCAACTTGACACAGTGCGGTGTAGACCTATGTTTACGTTCTACAGTTGCTGGGCGTTGCGCCGGTCCAGCTACAGCCCCCTAGACGTGTGCGGTGTACATGTACGTGTGTGTCAATGTCGTGAACTGCATTTCGTTAATGTCAGTAACTCGTGGCATGCTAGCAGAATCTAATGTTTATTTCTAGTATGGATGAAATGCCACATTTGCATGTTTTAGATGAAATCTATTTGGTGTGAGCTGCAAAACTTGGAGAAGGTTGAGAAATTTAAATGAAATTAGGTTAAATTAATTTAATTTTAAATTTCAACTGAAAACTTACCTTTTCCGTAATTAACTGTTAGGCACATTACATTTACTTCGTAAATCTCTTTTCATTATTTCATTATTAGCCAGTTACTGAATAGTAGTGTTTCACCTCCCGTAATTTTGCGCCAGGAGTGTTTATTTCTGACAGATATGCTGCGGTATAATCATAAAAGGCCAGTTCAACTAGGCCTACTACTATATAGCAAAAAGAGCTGTTTTGCTTTTGCTCGTAACTTACATTAGTTCAGGCAGCTTCGGATGGGTAGACACTTCCTTGAAGTTCTTGCAAAGTCACATTTCCTGATTTTGTTTTGTACAGTGTAAAATCCCAAACCTGTCTTCTTGAATCGGAAATACTGGTGTTAAAAATCTCAAGTCAGGAACGTGCATAAAAGTTATGATTTTGGAAAGAGGGGAAAATGATGAATTCCGTATTGCGTATTTGACCAGCTCTGTTTTTAAATGTCACAAATATCACCAGCAGGGTCAGGGAAAAACTGGAAAAACAATGCAATTCATTACTTTCTGAGTTTAAAAAAATTGTAAAAAGTGGCACTAATAATCCATGCACTACAGGAAGCTTGTACCAGTTGTATGTGGTCCACTGATAACTGGGACATCTCTTAACCCCTTCTCGATGGGAATTTCTTTCCGAAAGCCGACTCCAAGAATTCCAGCCTCGCTTGGCCACAAAGGCCACCTGCCAAACTGCAAATTCTCGGTTTGTGGCCCAGCGTGCTTTGCACGCTTTGAATTACACAGAGAAAAAGCTCATTGTTCGGTAGCATGCGGCTCTATTCACGCTTCCACATTCCCGTTGCCTCTTTTCAAAGTGGGGACTATTGTGAAGCTGGTGATTATAATGCAAATTCGGTCTTTTCATTTCTGGGCTACACACAAAGACAATTACCATATACACAAGATCCAGGGTCTGCCTTCGTTCACCGTGTTTGCTCGAGCGTGGGCCGAGAATAATAGCTGAAAAGCGGGCTGAGGATCTCAATTTTTACGGCGTTGCTTAACGCGTCCCGGCGTGAAGGGGTTAATAGTGAAATGCAATGGACATAACCACCTGTTTGAGAACTTACTGCTAGTCACAGTATCATGGCATTGTGTATTTTAAGTCATCTAACCTCTTCAATTGGTACCAGTGACGGTGAAAACATGACCACACAAAGCTACAGCATTATTACGCCCCAACTATAGCATCTGTCCCAACTGTAGTTCTACAGTTGGGCTGGCCCAACTATTGTTGACCACTTTCTGTAGAATATTTCTCAAACTTATCCAAGTTTACGAGTCTCACACGTGACACAATCCATCTAAAATATGGTGCTTCATCTATGACTTGACACTTTAAACAATATGACTTTGGCACGTGCACACTTGATCTCTGTGCTGTAGCTGGGCCGGCCCAACTATATTTGGGACTGATGCTACAGTTGGGGCATAACATCATCATCTACTGCACATGTACATGTGCATCTGCTTCAATTAATGTTGAGAAAGATTTGACTCTAACACCGTTGCTAACATCAGTTTGGAACAGCGAAATCTGCGAAAATTACTGTCCGGTTGTGTTCAGAATTATATAAATGCTTGGCACAACCTTCAGTTTTAAGACTGACTTTTATCAGAAAATCTTCATTCAGTACAGGGGAAGAAAGTTTCAGTTTTTATGGTAGATGTCCTTGGCACTGTATGGTGACCCCAAGTGTTCTGGTAGGCCTCCTTTCTGCCCAAGTTTTTACCTGTTTTACTGAAATAAATCTGGAAATGAGAGATTGTGCCTAGCATTTATATAACTCTGAACGCGACTGGATAGTTATTTACAAGGTTTTTGGTGTTTCTTACCAATTCTGGTGGGGTTGTTAAAGTAAAATCTTTCCTAATGTTGGAAAATGTTGGAAAATTTGCTTCAAATATATGTACATTAATAATACACGTGTAATTGATCCAATATTAGATAGGAAGCACAGCTCTAATTTTGACTGGTGTACCATTGCGTTCACTCACATTTAAAAAGTAGATTATTACTGTATCAAATCTGTTCCAAATTAATTTTAAGAGTTTGAAAATTGGCTTGTATGTGTTGATCCAAAGAAATTTCGAAGGGACACAAATCACAATTTAAAAAAGGAGGTTGATAATTTTGACTGACTCCGGATTGTGATTCCACAAATAGCGATCTGTAGTACGCAAGTGAACAGTTTATGATGGGGTTCATTTCCTCTTCCCATTGTGAATCATGAAGTCTCAGGGTCGTTGAGTTCAGTCAGTCCAAAATCACTTTTCGCTTTCTAAAGCCCAGTGTATCTGCCTGTATTTGGACAAGTTTCGGCTTGGAATGTTGCGGCCTTCTTTTCATCTGAACAATTACAGAAATGAGTCGGACAGGATGTGGACAGATTTATGCTTTTGAGCCATGTCCATCCGACTCATGGATATTTTGACCTTTGAAGCACTGAGCTGGAATTACGGTACAACATGTGCATGTACTTGTCATCTTCCCCCATAGCAATAGGAATTCTTGCGTAAGAATAAATGAATGAAAGAATAGCTTGTAAAATGAGAAGTAGTCTTGGACTTCTTGGCCAAATTTTGTCCTCTGAATTCAGAAATATTCCATTGAACAATAAAAACTAGGCTCATTACTGAAAACAGTTATTGGGTATTCCAAGAGCATTCATTGGTTGATTGTGCATGATTGTACTGTTGCGAACAAAAGAACTGAGATCCCTCACAGAGGGGTAAATTTACACATTGTCCCAGTTGGGCTGTCCACTTTAAAAAACAACAAGATCTTCCAAAATCTACTTCAAAATCTACTCATTTCTAGAGTTTTGCAGATTTCGCATAGAACTACCGGTACTTCAACCAGTATTTAAGTGTAGGTTTTCCTGGTTAATTTAGCACCTCTTTCATTGAAATTGCTTAACGAAAATTTAATTTCATCAGAGAGGACAGAGCATTGTAACTCCGGGAAAAAAAACACATTTATTTGTCCCATCTATTGTCATTTCTGTCTCACTCTGGGAATGGTGTTGAATTGGAAAAGCAGATTCGTTTTTTGTCATCCATTTTACCGATTTAATCATTCAATT